TTTTAACTGAAGTGCTTTGCAAGGTATCAAATCTGAGTTTCAGGCTCATCTATTTTAAGCCTTGATATTAATGTCTGTACATCTGGAGTGTAGCTACAGCTGGCACCAAGCATGAAAAGTTCACTTTACCACAAACTCTGAAGACAGTTCCCTTACCACAAATAAGCAAGTAACTAAAATTTGGATTTATGTGTGTACATGCATTCTATTTATGTACAGAACTACATATATATATGCATACATGTATGCATATGTACACACATTCTTGCCTACATTCACACAAAGAAGCAAAAAGAAATACTATAGCAGTTAAACAGAATGTTTTAGAATCGTATCTTTTAGAACATTAACTTACCACAATAGATACCAATTGTTGCATACTGTAAATTTGTCAAGATGCCCACACACTGAACCTACCGCCCACTGCTGCCGCAAACTCCCTACCTGTGTAGCACAAGGCAAGTTTCTTTTTGCTGCATCTCTCGTCATTCCACATGCCCTCATCTTTGCCTCTCTTGATGTAGATCTCTACGCAGTCCTCGTCATTTTGCTTATTGTTCGGCTCACCTGGAGCCCAGTTTTTGGCTTCTTCTGTCAGAGGCTTCTGGGTGCCTACCCAGACCCACACGTTGTTGACCTTTCTGATTCCAATCCAGTAATAACTTGGTGCGTAGCTCATTATGGAGTTCAGGTACTTGATCTCTTCTTTGTTTTGAATTGCAACCAGATGTGTGTACCTTTGCTGACAATAAGTACTGGCCTCATCATAAGTCATGCTTTCCGTGGAGGCGTTGTAAGACCAGGCTCCACTTTCTTTAATGAGAAGCACTAGGGAGGGGAAACATGAAGGCAATGGTAGAGTTTAGTCCTGCTATGGTTTAACTCTGTTAACTGGGCTTTTTATCATTTTATTTTTGGCATACTCCCCACTGTACAGTAGAATAATAAACAGAACAACTAAGCTTCATTGAGTACTTACTATGTGCTACTCAGCACTTTATGAGGCACTTCACATGAACCATGATATTAAATGCTCACAATGCCTCTGAGAAAGAGGTCATTTATGATCAACGCTTTACACATCATTAAACTGAGACACTAAGAGCTAAGATAAATTTCCCTTAGCCCAGGGCAGAACATGTTGCAGGTCGAGGATGCTGCTAAAACATCCTACAACGCACAGGACAGCCCCCAAAAGGAAGGATATTCTAGTCTGATAGATCAATCAATAGTGTGAGAATGAGAAGCCCTGGTCTTACTAATGACACCGACTTACCAAAAGTGACAGCAGAGAGAAACCATGAAGTAATCATGACTTCAGTTCTTTTCACCAAAGGATTAGAGTTGAAATAGTTTTCTAGAGAGAAAAAATACAAAATTAATTATAGAAGGAAATCCTAGGTAGCCAGTTACTCACATCATTCTGCCATGATGTTTAAGGCAGCATCATAAGATTTTAGGTAAAGGATTCCAGTGCCAGAATCTCTATTTATTTAAAAGAAGCTGCGGCTGTCTGGTTAGCTCAGTTGCTTAGAGTGTGGTGCCGATAATGCCATGGTCCAGGGTTCAATCCCTGTGCCAGCCAGCTGCCTAACAAACCAAAGAAAGCAAAAAAAAAAAAAAAAAAAAAAAAAAAAAAAAAAAAAAAA